ATCAGAACAGTACCTGTACATAGTAGAATCTCAAATACTTATTGACTGATGAAAAAAAGAAAAGAAAAGAAAAGAAAAAAAAAAACCCAGACCCTAAAACTGAAATATATTTTAATACTTTTATTCTAAAAAAAAAAATCACAAAATCCAATTTCAGATTAAATAATATTTTACTCTTAAAAAATTAACAAAGGAGGAAGATTTTAAAGTTTGGTTTTATATCTAAAAATGCATTCTTAATTTCCAGATAACTCATGCAAAATCATATGTGGTGATATTCAATAAAATACCTTTTTTTTTAACCAGTAGTACAAATTGGATTATATTTGATTTGAAGCAGTTCTGATCCCCAAATCCCATTTCAAAAGATTTCTCAAAAGACCTTGAAGCCACAGACAAAGTTTATTTGAAAACATAGTTTAAAATTGCACAAATATAAATACAATTTAGTAATGTGAAAAAGGGAAGGCATGCTTCCAATAATAGTACAAAAATACTACCTTAATCTTGGTACTTTGCAAATTAAAAGCCAAAGGAGTAAGTTAAACACATCAATATGATAAGAGGTTGTTTTTATGGTAGTAGTTTTATTTCAAAGAGCAATGCAGGGAAATACTAAGATGAAGCCTTAATATCCAACAGAGTTGTGCTACGATACATAATATTTCACTAAATACACAGATACATTATCACGTAGTATGCCCGTAACTTTTACAACCCCACCCCATCGCCATTAATTTAGTATAGGTCACTTAATTTGGGTTGGTTTTAATTTAAAAACTCAATGTAAACATTTAAAGTTAAATTTTGTGTTTGTTATCTATTTCAGCCTAAAAATGAAATCCCAAGATTTTAAACATTATTGAGCATAAAGAAGCATCACAGAAGAATTTGCCTCAATATCTTTAGTAGGTTAGACTAGATATGCAATATTCATAGATATACAAAATATATAGAAACGTCTTTTCTAAATAGTTAATAAATGCTTGTTATAGTTTGTAAAAATTTTATTAAATTAATCAGGTTTTTTTTCCAACCAATGTAAACAAACCTGGGCAATGAAAGTTGAAGAGGGTTTGAGTGAGGTGATATGGGGGAAATTGAAAGGACATCGGTAAAAATTTAGGTTTGCTTTTTTTCGTTTAGCTACTGGCAACATATTCAATCATGAACATTTCTCACATTGCACAATTCTTTTATGGTATCTAGGCAAATTTTTTATATCTCTCAGTGAAAATGTCAAACTACCTAGTTGAGTGTGTATGTATATCTCTTACCATTTTATTTTATTTTATTTTTTTTGGTCATACCATTTCCCCTCTCCAAGAAATTTGAAGAAAAAAAAAGACACACATTTTATTGTTGAGCAATGAACGGCCTGCTGTTCCTTTTTTCATCTTAATATTGTTTTGAGTGCAGGTTTCTAAAAGTGTCCCAATGAGTCTGGCTGGATTTTGTTACCACACTCTGCTCATTGCAAGTTGCTTTTCTCTGGTAGAGAAGGTCCTGAGAAAACAGTTCTGGGATCGGGGCACTTGTCTCCAGAGTGCATTATTTTGGGATTTCTGCAGAGGTTGCTGGTAGTGGAAACCTTATTCAAGGCTATTTTACCACATGAGAGTTTGTTAAACCTCACACTTTAATTTTCTGGGTTTTTTCCTCTTAATTTTTTAATGCCTCCTCACAAGAGTCTTTGCTGCATGTTTGAGGATTTCTGTCTTTGAGCTTATAGGTCTGTGTTTGGGGGTATATGGGATGGTGACAAAGCTGTTACTAACAGAAGACACCCCCCCACTTTGTCTTACTGAGTTTGCTCCCTCCATTTCTGGTCTTCTTGCCCATATTTTTTTCATAAAGCAAGGGTTACTGAAAAAAGCAGTGAGGGGACTTCCAAGGTGGTTCTGAGTGACCATGAAATCACCTCATCATTCCTGAATTTCAGTGTTTTTAGACATAGCTCACTGATATCATACAAATAGGGCCATGTTGAGGACAATGGTGTGACACCCCACACACTCACTACGTAACATTTGTGGAAATTAAGTCCCCACGTCCACTTTGACTTATGAATGGTTTTCATGTGCCTGACATGACCCCAACCTCCCCACCTTTTTTAGAATGTCAGTATTTCTAACTTATTCCTGAATTTTAGAAAATATTTGAAATGCACTATTCAGAATTTAGAACCCAAAACTGAATGGAAGCAATTAACACAATTTTGTTTAGTAGCATTCAGACACAAGGACTTTGTTGGAGTTTTGGATCTGTTGTACCTCAACTGTTTTTTTAAAACTCGTTTAGATGTCTAAGTACCTGGATTTCTCAGTAGATTCATTTGGCACTGGCTGCAACACTGCATACGCCAGGTGTGTGAATATCTGTAAAGTTCAGTGTGATAGCATTAAAACAATCTCGAGGATAAGATATTAAAAGCAAATAGTATGACTTTAACACAAAGTTCATGAAAATGCTTCCTTGTTCAGAAGCAAGGAAAAGTAAGCTAACCTATGAGACTTAATCATGCACTGGGTAAATTTACATTCAGTACAGTTTATCTTGCATGCTTTGGTTAATATTTGAGTAGGCAGATTTGCAAGTACTAATGCATGCGTATTTTGTACCTGAGGTTATATGTTTTATTTTTTAAAAATTGCCTTTTTACAAACCTTATGCCAGAGTTCATCTATGAACACTCTTTAAAAAAATATATATATCTACTTAGTTCAAAACAATTTAATTTCAACCCATTCTATAAACACTGAGATAACAGGGAAACTGTGCAATAAAACCCGGAAAGGGAATGAATTTGAAATTATTTTACAAAGTTGAAATCATGTGTGTGCATGTTTAATAATTTCTAAAATATGAGGCCTCAAAAAGATGGCACACGAATTAAGCCTTTAGAATACCCTGTTTCTAGAGTGCTTTTAGAGTCATTTCAAGGCATAAAACAACAGCAACAACTAACTTAAAGTGCAGTCCAGTCTTGTGGAACTGATTCAGGGGCAAATGAGGAAGGGACACAAAATGACCATCTTGTTTTCTCTCTATTCCCAAAGAACTCATGGATAAAGGTTATGGGACAGAGTTTAGGAGCTCCTGTTATATGTGGGACTAGCTATAGTTGGGTTCAAGTCTTGCTTGGATAGCAAGAATATGCTAGAAAGATTTCTCTAGTTTGAGTATCTAGACATGTACCCAAGATTCAACACAATAGTTCTCTTTACAGTAAAGGAGAGTGGCATAAAACTCTGAAAGTGAGTGTGTCCTGGACATTCCAACCTGGCTAAGTATCACTAATTGGCCATTCTAGTTGAAATGCAGATTGGCTGGGAAAGCAGAGCTCCTAGTTTTCGGTTAAAGTTTCCTGGTGGACAAGATCTGCCTTTCTTTCCAGGAGTCGTGGGAAATGATCTTCAGGGAAAGCAAAGGGAATGATGACTCAGTGTGACTGACCCAGTAAGGGGATGCTTTACTCCTTCTTCTCTTCCTGATCCCTCTACCTCCTCCCCACTGTTAAGGTACAGCAGCAGCACATGGAAATAGCGCACTAGACATAGCTATAACATATTTTGAAATTCAGCAACGAGCACTGGCTTTCTCTGAATTTTCTTCCAATCTGCTAGGGAAATCAGTTCTTGAAAGATACATCTAAGCCACTGAATGGCCATTCTAGTGAAAGAGTAGCACCTCTAAGACATCTTGGGCTTGCTTACTTAGTAATACAAGAAAAAAGAAACTCGAAGCCTTCCCAGGTGCCTCAGAAAGGAATCCAGGACACCTTGCCCTTTGAAATGGAAAAAAGTAATTTAAATGTCAATTTCACACCACCGGGGTAAAATACCCCAAACAGTTCTGCCTTAAAAGAATGTGTGTATACTTTAAAAACGTATACAATAAAGACTGTTCTATAATCTTACTAATTTTTGGTGGTGCTCTGATTTCTATAAACTTTCACTTGCTTTTTAGTAACTGTTTTTACTTAATTTTATTTAAAAATATTGTTGATGTTGAAAAACGTGTTGGGCAATAGCTCTGCACTTCCTGACAGGCAACCGACTATGAAAATCTTGGTTCTGATGGATACTAGATATACTGGACAAAGTCCTACTGAATGTTCTGCAAATTATCAAATTATGATGGGAATGGAAAATTGTCTACTCTCCCCTGAAGTCACTTGGTCTTCTGACAGCAAAATAAAACTTGGTCTGCTAAATTTTCCACCATCTTATCAACAATCAAATTAAATCAAAGTATCCTAAGAAAAGAAAGTTACGAAAACAGCCTGTTGTTACTACTGCAAATTCAGTTACTGTTGAAAGTAGAGAACGGCATCATAAACAGAAACCTGTAAAGTTTGCTTTGAATCCTGTGTTCGGAGGCTCCTAATGGACTATGATGGATGCCAATCAGCTTGCCAGCCAGTGAATGCACAGAACTTGGGAGGACGAACATGCAGAGAATGGTTGCTCTTCTACTGGGGATATCTAAGCAGGGAGCTGCCATGAACCTGGAGGCTGGCCCCCAGAGTTCTTCCTAGACTGAATTCTAGGATTCTAAAATTCTAAAGTATATTCTTGAAAATACGGTTGAACTTTGCTTCTGAGACTGGAGGGAAGTAGGCAAAGGCTGGGTTGTCACTATTGCCCCATGGTGGATGCCTTAATGTGTCTCTGCCTCCTGCTGTCCAGCCGGGGGCATCACTTTGCCAAGTGAGCGTTGACAATGAAGACGAAAGCTTGGCACACCATTGGACCCTCAACTCTTTGTCCTTATAAACTTTAGAAACTCTTTGTCCTTGTAAGCTTTATAAAAACTCTCTGTTGTTATAATGTACTAAACTTCAAGGACCTGTGGTTTTGTGTTTCCTCAAGGCCCCTTCCTACCCGAGGGACTTCCGAGGTAACAGAGGAGAAGATTTCTACCTGCACATTTGCCCCCCTCAGGCGAAGCTCACTCCCCAGTCAATTAAACCGTCTTGACTCAAATGCTGTTTGCTTGGTAACTATTATCATGAGAGTAATCAGCTACTACTAACCAAAGACCGTGAAGAAAAATTTGGGATCAGATTGCTTTCTGGAGGAAGGAAGGAGAAAAGACAAAGAAGAGTGGGACCACTTACTAGGACCAATTGTTAGAATTGGACCCTGGTGATACTATATTTTGGTTAGCATTTTGCAAACAATTTTTCTAAATCTTTAAAAATATGATGTCATTCCAAATAATCACCAAGCCCCAACAGGCACAACACACCGTGAAGTGAGCAGAATGTAATTAATTAAATAAAAACACCACCACCAAGAGAAAATTCCTGATACTTGATAAATATTCAAAATGAGAGCCAAAGGGGCATGCATCTTTCATATTAAACCTCCGACATTCAGTGAGAGAAAATATTGATCTTCTATCACTTAGAATGCAAAAGGGTGAGCAGTGCAGATTATTATGGAACTAAGAAAACACTTAATTTTTAGGAAAAAAATGTATCACTCTTACGAAATACTATCTAAAATGTTAATGGTTTAAAAGGAATATATTGGTGTGCAGGGCAGTTAGAAAGCAAGTAAAATATGACATTTAAGCAAGTTAATGTTAACTCTATAGAAATCACATTATCATCAAAATTCCTCCCTGCAGAGAATGCATGACAGGATGGTACGTTTTCTCTTGCTTAAGTTTATACAGTCCCAGAAAGCATGTGAGTAAGATCTGTGTTTGACATATTTACACCCTATGTCATACCTGCTTTGAGAAAAACTCCTTCAAAACTCTACACTATGAAAAACTATTTTCAGGAATTTTTATTTGGTCCATGGATCTAGCAAGGCCGAGTTCTCAAGTCTTTTACCCCTAAGTTAAAAATTGGAGCAACGAAACAAAACTCCAGCAAGGCATAAATAAGATATTAAAGTGCATATATACAGTCCCAGAAAAGTTTTGATTGGGAACAGCAAAAATTTCTAGTGCAAAAACTGCTTTTGCCAGCAAAGCTCCCTCTCTGGAATCGAAGGGCTACGGTAAAAGTTAAAATTGGAACAGGTTTAAGCAATGCCTCTCTTTAGTCAAGAGTTAATATATGTGCATGCACCTTGGCCCAAACTATGTTGTAAAAGGGGGAGTTGCAGGGGATAGTTCGGAAACAGTCAGAATTCCCTGATCAGAGGCAGTGCTTTCTTTCTCCACATGTCCCACGAGCAAGGTCCTTATATGTGTATCAGCTGCCAGTGGGGACAAAAACCCCCAAAGGACATGTTTTGAATATGCGTGCAGCTCGTGAAGAGTATTCACACACAGTTATTTCATCTTGGTTTGTCCTTGTGTCTCTCAGTTCTTCTTTCGAGCCCAACCTTGATTCTATATACAACATTTTGTGCTTTTGAATCTGAACAGAGCCTGGGCATTGTCTGTAGGAATTCCCTGTGTTATCTCACCATGGCCTTTTGGACATCTGGTTTGTCCTTTTCTTTTTGGAATTCATAATAAAATAGTTTTGCGTTTCTCAGTACAATTACACAGACAAGGATTTATTATTTTTAATTGTTTTCTTTTCCTTCAAGGATCCAAGTTGAAAGCTCGTAGGAGGACATCCAGGTCACCGAGATTAGCCGCCTGGAAGAGTTCCGGTTGGTCCATCAGAGAGAGTGCGATTCTGAGGGCGGCCCAGATGTTCCCGGAGATCGCAGGATGAGGGACTTGCTGTTGATTCCTGCTCTTTCTTTGCAAACTGAGGGCAGTGAGAAAATTGCTGACCGCTTCTCTAAGAGGGTAGAAAAACAGACATTTAAAAATGCAACAAATTTCAGAGTTAGCAACTTAAAAATAAAACGAAAATGGATTAATTTCTCTTAGTTGTAAAAGCTAAATCACCCCTCTGTGGTGCTTTAGATCATCAGGTGAACAACCTTCTGAGTCTCTCATTATTCTTTTGTGAAAAAAATCATTGTTCAGCATAGTGAAATCAAAGAAAAAGGAAAGCAAATTTTATTTTAGGACTGTGTTGTGGGACAGAAAGAGTAACAGCGAAACCATTGCTAACTTACTAATGCCTCTGCTTTTCTCCACCTTCAGGGATAATTTAAAGACTTAATCCTTTTGCAAATGTGATTTATATAATAAAGGTTGAAGAAGAAGCATCTGGCCCTACTCAGAAACAAAGTGGTTTAAGGGACGCCTGGTGGCTCAGTCAGTTAAATGTCTGCCTTCGGCTCAGGTCATGATCCTGGGATCCTGGGATGGAGCCCTGCATTGGGCTCTCTGCTCGGTGGGGAGTCTGTTTCTCCCTCTGCCTGCCGCTCCCCTTTCTTGTGCTCTCTCTCTGACAAATGAATAAAATTAAAAAAAAAAAAAGAAAATAAATAATTTGAGAGAAAATAAAAAAAAAGGGGGTTTAACTTTTCGCATTGGTGATAGAAATAGGAGAGGTTGCTGGGACTGAGTTGATTTGTTACCAGAGCATCTGGGCTTAAATTCTAATCATTTAGCCTGAGGCGAATTTCTTATCTTTTCAACCTCAGTTTCCCCAACTGTGTAATAGGGAGAATAGAAGTCATTTTAAAACCTTGTAGTGTAAGGTGCAGTTGGATCAATTTATGTGAAAGCTCTTATTAAGTTAGATCAATAGTTCTCCAAGTGCAGTCTGGGGAACTTCGGGGGTCAGTGAGGTCAAAATCATTTCTACAATAATCCCCAGATGTTATTTTACCTTACTCTCATTTTCTCACAAGTGTACAATGGAATTTTCCAGTGATTACACGATGTATGAAATCCCAATAGGCTGAATGCGGAGGCACATATGAGAATCTGTCTCTATTAAGCAAGGTATTTAAAAGATTGGCAAAAATGATAAAACAATACCACTCTTCTCACTAAGCACGTTTTTGTTTTGGGGAATCATTATTTTTCATAAAATAGATAATGTCATCATGTGGTTAATTCTTACGTTTAAATGAATCTTTTAAACTTTTCTCAGTTTAACATCTAAGAGGGTAAATATCGGTAGAACCCACATAAAAGCCTCTGGAGGTCCTCAACAATTGTTAAAAGTGTAAGGGGGTCCTGAGAACACGCAGTCTGCGACCTGCTGAGTCAGATGCTGTCCACAGGCCTTCCCGCTCCTCCCGGCCCCAGCTTGCTCGTGGGTCCCCAGGGGCTGCTGGGTCTGCCCTCTCAGGACCCCTGGCACTGGAAGCACGTATTCTGTATCTGACAAACTGGGCTTTGCTGAGAGTAATGACACTGCTTTCATTTATATCTGCTTCACTCTTCTTAAAAGCTTCTCACACATTCAATCTCACGTACTCCTGTGAGGAGGTCATTAGTAAGCATCTGGTGAGAAGATTTCAGGTGAGGCTGGACTTCTGAGTCCACTGCACATAGTCCAGGCATTTGTTCATCTGTAGGGTTAGACCCACTGGGAAATAAAGGGCAATTGGGGAATGGTGGCACTGTGCATGGCGACTTGGCTGATTGATGGAAGGCAGTGGGGTTCTAATGGTCCTCTCTTCTGGATGGTTAATAATCAAGCGAGAGAAGAGGGTTTATAAAGAGATGCACGTGTGGAGTTTTCTTTGGAGGCCCTTTCTGGCTTCCTTGTCACAGGGTGGCAGCTTAAATGATAATGACTCCCTTTCCTCTCGTCATCCTAGGCCTGTTAGAACTCCGAGGGGAGGAAGATCCTGGAATCCCCACAGGCACAGGCTGCTCCGTGCTCCCAAGTGTGTGGCAGTGGTCTCTGAGGGACATGGAGTGCAACAGAGTAGTCTCACTAGCCAGCCCTGCCAAGCAATGTGAGGTTTTCCCCATGAAGTGAGTCTAAATCCGTTCTCCACCTTGGGAACACAGAGTCCTTTTGGGGAACTCAGAAGATTTTGCATGTAGATGTTTTCAAATGTTTCACACATATGTGTATGAATAAGCTGTTTGTGTATGTCTTGATTAATAACGTGCATTCACGTAAAAGCATTCCTCATTTTATAGTATCTTTCCCTCATTATATTAATACTAACAAATTACCACCAAAGGGGATGTGATCTATGTTTTCATTAAAAAGAGGTCCTCACTTTTTTAAAATTTACTTTTTATTTTTTAAAGATTTATTTATTCATTTGAGAGAGAGAGAAAGCCGGGGGTGGGGGGCAGGGGCAGAGAGAGGGAGGGAGGGAGGGAGAGTCTTAAGCAGACTCCACACTGAGCGAGGAGCCCTACTCGAGGCTCAATCTCAGGACCCTGAGCCGAAACCAAGAGTCAGATGCTTAACCAACGGCACCACCCAGGCGCCCCATGAGGTCCTCACTTTTGAAAAGGTTAAGATTCTTTGGTCTAAATTCTACTCTGGAGCTTCTACTGACAGAAGGGTAGCATCTTATGCTACACCCAGGTTTCACGCCAACAATTTCCTCTCCTTATTTCAATTGTATACAATACTGGGGAAGGGCTTGCCTTTGACTTTTTATAGAAAATGTGCAATGACAAACAACCAGGGTTATAGCTACATACACAGACATCTGCGGTTCTTGAGGGAGCTGTCCCGAGACTCTGGTGGACATGAAAGTATATGAAGCAGCTCATGGCTTTTTTCTGAGTCACAGCTCTACTGAGGGTTATTATTTCCTAACTATCCATTTACACCTCAAGTTAAACTTATTTTCAGAATTCATTTAAAGTTTATGTCTCACTCGATGGTCTTTTTTCCTCAGGAAAAATAAAAGCAAAATATTTAGTACTTAATAAGATTTTCCACATCTGGCATGACAATAAAAGACCCACAAATCTCAGCTGAGATGTTTTGAAACTTTGAAGTAGTCATGCGGTCAAGGTTGCCAGATTTACCCAGTAAAAATACAGAATGTACAGTTAAATTTGAATATCAGATGAACAGTTCATTATTTTTAGTATGAGCATGTCCCATGCAATATTTGGGAAATACTTATCCTGAAAGTGTATTTGCTGTTTTTCTGAAATTAAAATTTAACTGGGCATTCTGTATGTTATTTGGCAACTCTAAAATTGACTTGCGCCTGTACAGGATTAAAAATTCTCCCTCAGTAGATGTGCCCATTTCCACCTATCACGGGCCTTCCCAGCCTCCTGCAAACGGTTGCCCTACTGAGCCTTACACCTGTGAATGCCAAGAAATGATTTTATTGACCTCTCAAGTATTGTTTTCTACACTGTAATGAGGAGTTCCAGTTAAGAAAGACTCACCTAGAAAGACGTATATCATATGATCTCACTGATATGAGGAATTCTTAATCTCAGGAAACAAACTGAGGGTTGCTGGAGTGGGGGGGGTGGGAGGGTGGGGTGGCTGGGTGATAGACATTGGGGAGGGTATGTGCTATGGTGAGCGCTGTGAATTGTGTAAGACTGATGAATCACACACCTGTACCTCTGAAACAGATAATACATTATATGTTAAAAAAAAAAAAGAAGAGAGAGAAGATAGTAGGAAGGGAAAAATGAAAGGGGGGGAATCGGAGGGGGAGATGAACCATGAGAGACTATGGACTCTGCGAAACAAACTGAGGGTTCTAGAGGGGATGAGGGTAGTGGGGTGGGTTAGCCTGGTGATGGGTATTAAGGAGGGCACGTACTGCATGGAGCACTGGGTGTTATATGAAAACAGTGAATCATGGAACACTACATCGAAAACTAATGATGTATGGTGACTAACATGACATAATAAAATTAAAAAAAAGACTCACCTAGAAGCTTTATAAAAGCCTCCTTTAATTGAATTTATTTATTTATTTATTTATTTTAAAGATTTTATTTATTTATTTGAGAGAGAGAGAATGAGAGAGAGAGAGCACATGAGGGGGGGAGGGTCAGAGGGCGAAGCTGACTCCCTGCTGAGCAGGGAGCCCGACGCAGGACTCCATCCCGGGACTCCAGGATCATGACCTGAGCCGAAAGCAGTTGCTTAACCAACTGAGCCACCCAGGCGCCCCCTTTAATTGAATTTAATATGTCTACATGTACGTACATGTTTATTTCCATCTCTCCTTGTTCCAGCCAAAGAATTTATGGTATCTCATAAAATACATACATACAACATAGTGAGAAAATAAGTGACTAAAAGGGGTGAAGATAAAATCAGTTTAGGAAAATGAGACGAGACCAGGAATGAACTTAGTATACAAAACGGACCTGGTCAGCCTTAGCCAGCTGGTGTGGGGGTGGCTGTGCAGGCTTCCCTGGGCCCTTTGTGGGCGGGTGTAAGGCTGGCCTCCACAGAGGCTCCCTTCACAAGGTCCAGAAAATAAAGCAAATCAACTGCTCCGGAGTCACTCAGCTATTCCTGGCTTTAGCCTGAGCTAAGTCCTCTTAGAGGACTGGTGTAGTCCAGTGACTAATGTTCTTTCTAAGATTCTTTTAGTATAAACAAAGCAACCAGTTTCTGAAACCTCAATATTTGCCAATGGCACAGCCCCCAAATGCAGTTCAGAAACAGCGGCTCTTCAGATGTCAAAGGAATGCTCTCTGATGACTTATCTGAATAAATAATGATAAGGATCCTGATGATGAAGGCACTGATCATAATCATAATAACAAGTGCCTATTACTGCTCCGTGCTTAGGCAATTTACATCTAATCTGTGCAATGATTCTGCAGGCTAAATATTATTTTATCACTTCTTTTAAAGCAGGTGAAGAAATTGAGGCTCAAAGGTATGTGCCCAGAGTCACAAAACCAGTAAATGGCAGAGCTGTGATTTGAACCCAAGCTTTTCTGATTCTAAAAGCCTGGTTCTTTTTGAGAATGAGAAAAGGTTTATGTTTTTTGTGGGATTTAAAACTAACAGTTTTCTTTTTTCCAATTGTGAAAGTAATACCTATCTAGAAAGTATAAAAAGAAGGAAAAATTACCTATACTTTCTTTCTTCTTTTTTTTTAAAGATTTTATTTATTTATTTGAGATAGAAGAGAGTGAGAGAAAGAGAGCACGAGCAGGGGGAGGGGCAGAGGGAGAGGGAGAAGCAGGCTCTCTGTTGAGCAGGGAGCCCGACATGGGACTCAGTCACAGGACCTGGAGATCATGACCTGAGCAGGAGGCAGACACTGAACCAACTGAGCCACCCAGGCGTCCCTTACCTATACTTTCATTACCCCCCCAAAATAAAGGTCGTTCATGGGTCCTGTTGATGAGGAAAAAATAGGATATAGGATATAGACCGGATGATGAGGAATAATGAGAAAACAAGAAAGACGTTTTAAACCATAAACCCACCATTTAAAATTTTTTTAAAGAAAAATTTTTTTTCTTTAAAAAAATTGTAACTAAACTTACAGGCAAAGTACTTTTAGACAACCTGGACTTTTGGCTGTGCTTTGCCCAAACCTGGCCCTAGACCTTCTTAAGTCATTTTGTTGGGTCCCCCTGCCCCACCCAAGTTTCTCTTTTTCTTTACCTGGGAAATGAAGGGTTGGATTGTTCAAGTTTCTCAAAGAGTTGCCCCAACCCAGGCTGACTGAATGGAAATCTCAGGGGGAGGGGCCTGGGAATCTGCATTTCACAAGATGCCAACACAATTGCTGCTCTGCAAAGACTGAGAAACACCGAAGCAAACTGTTCCCGCTTCAACAGGCCTCAGGATGCAATGGTTCAAATGTTCCTTTAACAAGAGGAGGAGGGCTACTCCTACAAAAGGAGGTATTTTCACTCGCAAACCATCTTTCAGGTTATTTCACCTCAGCCCTGAGTGTGGCTCCTGGTTCTCAGCCTACGACCATACCGCACCTGTAGGCGCCCAGATTGATGCAGCTGATTCCCAGGTTGTATCTGGATCGGATGAAGCCTGGCTGAATCTCCAGGGCACGGGTGTAGGCCTCCACGGCTTCCTCACTGCGGTCTCCGTTCGCCAACGTTGCCCCGAGCCGGTTCCATAACGAATAGTCCTGAGGACAAAATCAGAGCTAACAACCGGCATGAGCCACAGTGACTGAGCATTCCCATACTGCTTGCAGAAGAAGCATGGTGTGGCTAGAAATTTATCCAGGGCTCATGGATAGGGACCATGACAGTGGAGAATTACTCAAAAAATAGTATGGACGACTTTGTGAAATGACTTTTCGTTCATCAAAGAGCCGCTACCATTGGATGCTGTCAGGCAATTCATGTTTCTGTTTGAGGTACTTGAGGATTAACAGCCACAGTAGCATATTATTAGTACAGATCACATTAAGCCGTTGGATGCAGGGAATTAAGACGTAGCAGAAATGTGCAAAGTGTAGCCTGTGAGAAATTTTTAACACAGAACCTTATGGTTTCTTGTTGTGCACTTACCTCCGGCCGAACAGTTAAGGCAGCGTTAAATGCATCTATCGCTCTATTAAATTCTCCACTCAGGTGGAACAGTACCCCCAGACCTGTCTGTAGGTCTGGGTCAATCATATCTCCATTTTGGTGGGCGGCTTCCAGATATAATTCCTTAACTCCTTCCAAAACGGAGCTACAAGGGAAAAAATGGAGATGTGTATTCTAAATAGTCTGAACATATTTACTATTATGTCCTCTGTTCCAAGAGAACATCAAAGACTGGAAAAGTCGTGCTTAAAATATCTTCGCTTAATGAGAAGGACTATTAATACTGCATATTAAAAAATACCTGCTGATTTTCATGAATTATTTCATCATACACAGAAACATACTGTGCTAAGTAAGGTCTTCACAAGGAGAGTTCCATTGACCCTATGAGTGCCAGTGTGGAAAACCCCAGGGCTCCCTGAGAATGAATTAAACATCGTGATTTATTGCTGATAGAAACAAAATCCCTAGAAGGAAGGACTTCCGTTTTCACTCATAGCCAATTCTCAGGCTTTATGAAACGTGGTGCATTTTATAATTTATTTGAGGTTAATTATATGTCCACAGCCTTTTGCTTTCAGTTATGGTACTTCGGTAAAATGTCTGTGAGTGCCCACAATCTTGATCATGTGTCCAGTCATTGGTTCTGGTCTCAGCATCAATCTTTGTCATCAGAGTTGCTCTTCTAGCAGGAATGCCTCCCAGAATGGCTGCTGGTGAGGCTTGTTTTTTTTATTTTTATTTTTTTAAGATTTTATTTATTTTTTCAACAGAGAGAGAGACAGCGAGAGAGGGAACACCAAGCTGGGAGAGTGGGTGAGGGAGAAGCAGGCTTCCCGCTGAGCAGGGAGCCCAATATGGGAATCCATCCCAGGACCCTGGGATCATGACCTGAGCCGAAGGCAGACGCTTAACGACTAAGCCACCCAGTCACCCTGGTGAGCCTTGTTAATTACCCTTAAGGTGCCTAATTGTGTAAATGGGTGTTTACTGCCGACTGTAACTTAATTAGAAGGATACCTATCGACTGGAGACTTGGACATCCTCCGGGTAAGGCCTGGAGATCCCTTCTTGCTCTTCACAAGGTATTTGTACTTTGGATTTTGCTTAATCCAATTCTTTAGAGCTTCACAGGCATCCTGCTGATGGCCGGTGTTAGTGTAACTCACGGCCAGAGCCATCAAAGCTTTCAAGTTGTTGGGCTGTAATTCTAAGCACCTGCAAGAAGACATAAGTAAATAGGTAAATAAATAGTCAATTTCAGATTTTTTCTGAGCCAGAATCTAACAGTTCTTTAGGAAATTTGAGGTCTTTATTAATTAAATGGTGCAAAAGCATGGCTAAGTTTATGTTAAGTCCTTGGAAAGTACCATATTTATCTGTGTGAAAATTGGGAGCTAAGTATGTTTGTAAGAAAGTTAAAACTCCTCTCGATGAGCGCTAGGTCTGGTTATTTAGTAAATAGTTTTAAGATAATAGAAAAGGTGGCTAATCCTTGCACAAGATTTATTAGGAGTTTATTTCATGAGGGGCTAGCATTGTTTTAGTGCTGCTCTATTATTGATGTATTAAATGTATCAGATCCACAAAGCAAACCGACCAGAGGTAAATTTGGATATGCAGAGATGAAAGTCTGTACAGTGTTTTATAAAGGACAGGGAAATTCCTGTGTTTCTAGACTACCGATGTGGGTTTACACGAGACACAGGCTATAGCTGCTTCCCCTCATGCTATCCCTCTGGCCTCTAGCAGGGGCCTTTCAAACTTTGAGGTGCCTGAGAATCATCTGGCATCTGGAAGTTGATTTGGTAGGGCTGATTTTTCCAGGGTTTACAGAGGGGCTCTAATGAAGTCAAGTGTGATGCTACATTCACCGAAAGCAGTCTAGACCTTTAGTCACAGGCTCAGTAGTTATACTTGTAGGTCACTGAAACTATCTCAGGAGATTCTCTGTAGACACAAGGAGCTAAAATTACACTGAGGTTATTTTGAGCATGTTTTTCCTGATGAAAACTTTCAAATGTTGCAGAAGGCTGAAAGTTAAAAGGAACTATATATGTAGTGAGTCTATTTTATGACCGCTTTTGACGTGGACGCTTTTGTGCCAATGAAGGTCAACTGATTTGCGGATGACGAAACACTGTGATTTAGGAATATTATTTCTTCATAGATTCTTGTTTCCTACAGGTAAGTAATATGTGGCCTCTCAGCACTTAATCCTGGCCAAATTCTTTAAATGTACCTAAGGATCAAAAGACAACATAAACAGGAAGTCCGCCCGGCCCATAATTTTGCACTTAGCTTCATCTACCTCTGGAGGGCGACAATAGCTGCTTGTTCGTTTTCATTCTCTGCCTGGGTTATCCCGAGGAACTGCCATGCCTACAAAAAAGAACCGAGGTCAATATTGCAAGAGGAAGCAGATTCACTCTTGTGCTTTAGATCCCTCCATGCAGAACAACCTGTCTCAGATGCGAGAGTCTTGTAAAAGGGAAAAATATCACAAGCATTTCTTTATTCAAAGGCTCTTCTGACATCTGGGTCAAGATCCTCTGCCATTATTGACAAATTCTCAGTCTTTACTCTCCTGTGACACATGGAAACATTTGAGTATCTGAGATTTCATGGTATTAGGTGTCTTAAAACCAAAAGATAAATATATAAAAGTATGCATTTGTGAGGAAAGGGGATGGAAAATAACCCAGAAATGTAGCTAAAGAGTGCAGACTTTATATAGTAAGGAATCTCAAGATGTACAAAATGAAACCAGTTTGTATAGATGCAAGTCTGACTGTTACTATAAGAGCTAACAGAAAATTTAGGAACTAGGGAAAATAAAACAAAATCCTCCACTCTAATGAACCATGAACATGGCTCTAATATCACTGTTAAAATGCACAAAGCACATATAAAATGCAATATAATACATACATAATTTTATAGCCTACACTTATACTTTATATTGCATCATGAGCACTTTTCATGTTTTTACAAAATCCTCATACTTATAATTTTTAATTTAAATTCTGTTGAGTGGATATCCTATTATTTACTCAACCAATTCCCTATTGCTCTCAGGTTGTTTCTAATCCTTTGCTATTGTCGACAATGTGAAGAATATCTTCAAGCAGATAACATTTTTCATATCTAGAATGAAAGTTTTTAATATAACAAATTTCTCCCTATATACTTAGAGGAACAATAATTCTCACACCATTACAAGAACAATCCACACGAACAAAACCTCTCATTACATACATTGTCTTCAAATTTGCTGGGGATAGGGGTGTATCAGTCTTATGGATTTAAAAGGGTTTGGGGATTTTGGGGTGCCTGGGTGGCTCAGTTGTTAAGCCTCTGCCTTCGGCTCAGATCACGATCCCAGGGTCCTGGGATCGAGCCCCGCATCGGGCTCCCTACTAAGTGAAGAGCCTGCTTCTCCCTCTCCCACTCCCCCTGCTTGTGTTCCCTCTCTCGCCGTCTCTCTGTCAAATAAATAAATAAAATCTTTAAAAAAAAATAAAAGGGTTTGGGGAGTGCATATCTCTCCCACCTACAGACATTTTAAAGCAAAATTATATGAAGATACATAGAATCATCCTCAAGTGCTATAAAAATTGTATTGGCTTTATCATCCTGAGTTATTATTACCCATGCCATATAAACTCATAAAAAATACTGATTATTTTCCTCCCAAATATCAGTGATTCTTTTTATTCGTTCAAATGTACACAGAGCAGCCCCTATCTTGATTTCACCTTCTACACATCTTAGAATGCTTCTTAAGTTTGATGAAACATTCCTTCTCTGGGGGCTTCTCACTAGCTGGCCTTTGAGCATGGTGTTATTTTCACTGTTCACAGATTGTCCTTTACCTGAATTTTGGGGTCTCCAAGATTCAGAAGCCCTGGGTCCTTGGTTGGGATCCATTAGTTACCCAGTGTCCTAATCTCTCATTTATGAATCTGACATAATAATGTATACTTCTTTTTTTAAGCTTCCAGGGTTGTTGTGTCAAACTATATAATACACATGAAAACATCGTAGCATTTAGAAATGTAAGATGATATTCTTTTGGGGGTTGGTCTACAGTTTGCTATTAATGTAATGACTTTCTCTTCCATAGTGATTCATATATCCTCTTAAAAATTCCAATATTTTGGTTCACATTCCAATTCTCAGTTCAATCTTGTTTCACTATCAGCGTTTTGACTGACAAGATACCAGGGCTTTGACCTAGTGATCAGTTTACTCCTCCTTCCTATACAAACTTTAAGTGCAACCAGTAATAATAATGAAGGCTAATTATTGATGCACCAGGCACTGAACTAAGCACTTTATTTATATGAACTAATTTAATCCTCACAACACCCAATGAATAGTTATTATAATTGTGACTTCTGTTTTATGTATGAAGAAATGGAACTGAGACGGTTTAAATGACTTGTCTCTGATCACATGGCTCATGGCTCATGAGTGGTAGAGCAGGGATTTGAACCCACACAGTTAGGACGGCGCAGCCCAGAAGCTTAACCACTACTCTATACTGGCCTCTCAGCACCGTATATACCACTCCCTAAAATTTCTGCCAATTCCTTATGAGGAATATTCCTTATATAAAGATGATTCCTGAAAATTACTCCCAAACTAAAAGAGAAGACTTTACACCTGCCACTAACTTATTACAGGCCTCTGCAGGTTTAGAAACATAGTGGACCACAGGAGGATGGCGAAGCCTCTCTGGGTGGTCTCCTGGCCTCAGTCTCCATCACCTTCCACACCTCAGAGAAAGGGGTTTTTCGAACAGGCAAATCGGATTGTATCCCTCTGCTGAGTAGAGTCCCCTAGTGGTTTCCCTGGCTTTCATGAAGTTCAGACTCTTACCCACCTCTTCCTGCCTCCTCTCCCACCATTGTTTCCTCCCCTCTACCCTCTGGAACAATGTTTCATGGCCCACTGTCCACACACAAACCACTTCCTCTTGAACGCCTCTGCCTCCCCTGCTGTCTTTCATTAAGCCCCGCCTCCTTCAAAACTCAGCTTTGGATTTAATTGTAGGGGAAGGCCCGCTCAGGAGCCTTGCTCTCTGCTCTCCTAGCATCCTGTGCATACTCTGACATTGCATTTATTACACTTGTCTTTCCAGATAGAACACAAATCTTTTCAACAGTTCCATTTTCCCAGCTCTTCAATATTTGAAGCCAGTGCCTGGCACAATTCTTAGGACCCAGTATGCGCTCAGTAAACGTTGAGTGAGCGAACCAAGGGTGAGACACGGGGTGGCTCTAAGTCCTAGACAAAACTATACACTGCCCCCTGAAAACTGCTGAGCCTCCAGGTTGACAATTTTGGTTTTTCATTTCTTGTCCCCACCCTTTTATTTTTGGGCACTGTAGATAACTGCACATTTGATTTGGTTAGCGAATAGGTACCTATATGTAACTTTTGAACACGTAGCAGAGTAAGCCAGGTTAACACCTTTGCGAGCCTTTCCTTGATGCAAATGCAGTTGAGGGGAGCTCTGTGGCGCCCCCTGTCGCTCACTCACACGCAGCCACTTTGTGAGCCGAGCAGGAAGAAGGGAAAATGTTACCTCTGCATCTCCAGGGTCCTGAAGAATCGCTGCTTCCATGAACAGGATGGTGACAGGCAGGTCCCCTTCCTTCAGTCTTTTTAAGCCTTCTTCAAATGCTCCAGGCCAATCCTTGAAGGGATTTTCAGTGTGAAAGTAATATCCCTACAACACGGAGAAGGGCACTATGAGATCCATCCATTTATCTCTTCGTTCTGATATTCAGTAAGCTCTTTTTGAATTTGAATTTGAATTTATTTGTTTAAGTTATTTAAATTAAATTGAAATTACTGTTTTTTTCCCCTTCCTATGAAGGTAGGACATTTTCATTGTATAAATTTTGGATGATATTATTTTGTTATTGAATAATATAAAAAGAAACAAAAGTTACCCATCATGCCACAACCCCTATCACTGCTAATATTTTGGAGTTTGTTTTCTGTCTATTACTCTTTTGCTCTTTTTGTTTTAGCCATTTCCCCCTGAGATTTAAAAAATCCAGAGTTTTAGACGTACTTTTGCTAAGTGCTACCATCCATTCCCCTGAAATGTTAATGCCACATACTGTACATCTGTTTATGTGCTGTGACCCTTTGGAGGGCTACAAACCATTCTACTATCTACGATTTTTTTTTACCTTCCTGCTCCTTGAACCAGTTTCTGTCCCATTGAGAATGCATGTTTTAAACTTATAGGTCTTTTCTTTCAAAAATTTAAATTGTACGGAATGTATAAATAATCTTTTTCTATGAATATATAAATTAAACAAATAAGCTCATACCATATGTGCAGTTTTGTAGCTTAAGCCCCACTTAGTTTTAGTTTTAGTTTTTAAAATTATTTGCATTGTGCCAAAACTTATTTAACCAAGCTCCTACTGATGGACATTCAGGTTACTTTCGATTTTTTGTCCTCATAAATAAAGTTACAGAGAAAAACTTGTGCTCAAATCTTTGCGTATGATTATTAACTTAGGATAGACTTCTAGAGGGCTTTTTTAGACTAAAGGCTATGAACTATTTTGAGGCCCTTGATATGTATAACTGAATTGCTTTTGAGAAAAATTTGTCCCAAGTTAAACTCTAATTGGAAATATCTGAGAGAAATGATTTATCGCAACCTTACCAGCATAGATCATCATAATATCCTTCTAATTTGATAGATACAAATAAGCTAGTCTGTTAATGATGCTACTAAGGTTTAAAAATAGATTAAATGGAGACTTTCATTCTCCGTTGTTGCTGAGAAAGACAAACCTGCTTATCAAAGCCACAGGGTATGACCAGTTTAAAACTGTGTAGTGCTGTTACAGATACGGGGTCCCAGGGGCGAGGAGCGCAGGGCCCCAGCCATGCCTCAGGCGCGTGAATTACAGCCTAGAGTCTGCCAATCTATATCAATGTTTTCTCTTCTTGCCTAGCTTTGATTTCTTTGTAGAAGAGGGTTATATTTAATAAGATAGTTACTCTAATTTTATGAGATTGCCTGGCCTACTGAGGGGCAGAGAATACTGGCAGGAAGACATTTTAATGACTATGTAGATTGAAAATCCTCTAAGAATTGGAGATTATTCATCATCATATCTATTGCTAGGCAGGCATTCAATAAATATTTGTTGATTGAACAAGTGGAAGTTATCCAGAACTGAATATTATTGAGAGTTCCTCTACCACAAAAAATCCGTAATACACACATATTATATGTATATACATATACACATATATATAGTTTTTCCTTCAGTAAGAAAATTCCAGATCTTTTTCTATCTTTCAAGTCCTTTAAATTTATTTCTCAAAAGTGTCCCTCCCCTCTTCACCAAGTGTTTTTATTTTTTATTATTTATTTATCTGTTTTTATTATTTTTTTCACCAAGTGTTTTTAAAAGCATAAACACAAGGGCAACTGGGACTTCATGAGTAATTTGGCCAGTTGTTGACTGAACTCACACATTTGCTGGGGCTCCTTTCAGGGGAGTATCTTGGGATTGGGACTTGTCCCTGGGACTTGACCTGGCTGCGTGAAGCATATCTTTTCCACCGTGTTTCTTTGTCAGCTGTGTAAGGACCACCCGGGAAATACAGCCCTAAGCCCCACCTCACTCCCCTGTCCGCTGATACCATTTCTCTTAGCTCGTCCACATGGCTCACATGAATGACTGACAAAAAGCATTGTGAGATTAGCCAGTTCTTGTTCCAACCCACCCTCTACGCCAGTTAGTTCAGTAACTTGCCAGCAGTCAAGAATGCAAGCTCTTGTTGGCTGTCAAACAGTATAAACATTGATAAAAATATTTAAGGATATTTCATTCTAGCTTTGCTGTCTTCACACATTGGATGATTATATTGTTTTCATCCACCAGAATTTCTTCTAGGTCAGGCTGACAGTAATTTGTCTACTTAATTCTCGAATTTTTTGCAAAATAGTTAATGACTAATTTATAAAAATATGATGCAAAGAGGTTGAGAAAACTGGTCAGCATATATAAGAACAGACTCAGTCACCTTCTCGCTAGCTGAGATTGTAACTTGGTTCTGAGCTTCTTGGTTCTCTGATATCCAGTTCCTCCGGGCCATTTCTTCCCATTCTGCTTGCATCTTATCCCAAAACTCTGTATCTGACTAGGAGACAGGAAAAACGAAGAAGAGAGATGGATTTAAGACCATGTTATGTCACCTGGTTTATTTCTAAAAAGACAGTTTTCCTCATAGATCAGAATGAGTTCTGAGGAGGAATAAAATGTTCACACTGGCCACATCCAATGGTACTCATGGTTGAAGAGCTCCTGGAGGGTACTTAAGTGGTCAGAGTGTTAAATTGGATTAGTTGTGACTTTCTCCAGCAGGAAAATAGTTATCATCTGAAGGACGAGGATCATATATGTCAAATTCAGCTCAAAATCCATTACTTGAGCAGTTTCAAGTCTGGGCACCGGGCATATATTTTAGGAAGGATGGTCTTAGAGTTGCTCTCAGGATATGAGAAATTACACCAATGGCTTTGGGACTGAATGGGTAGTGACTTGGGGGAGGAGCCGACCATGGACAAGGGAAAATAACATTAGTTGAACCTACTCTGTGCCAGGCACCTTGCTAGGAGAAAACCGAGCATAGAGGATTATGGTCACAAAGCTAAGATTGCATAGCATCAGAACCCCAGTCTGGCTTCCAAGCCCTTGCTCATCACCTATGGCAAACATGGCCTCCTGGTGCTAAAGAATGAAGGACCTTGGCTTTTGGTGTGAACTTAATTGAGTCCTCTTAGTCAAGGTCTTGTCTATGGCAGGATGGTTTTTTGAAAAATATTACTTTGTGTTTTTCTCCTTATAATTTTCCTTTATGTTTTCCAAAAGGGAAACCAGGCCATTTGCTGCCTTTTACCTCAGGGGAGGACTGAAACGGAAATTTTCTGCAAGATCTGTCCCTGGTTGGCTTCTATTTTGTTAAGCCTAAAGAGAGTACTTTGGGTGTCCTGGTGTGAGGAAAAAGGGGCAAATATTTTAAAGAACTTAAGGGAGGAAGGAGGAAAGGGGAACTTTCCAGGGGCGGGAAAGACAAGGAGGGTGGTGGATTCTGAGATGAGTGGGAGACTGGTGCTTAGCTTTTAGGTTTTTCCCTGCAAACTGGCCTAACTTCCAAGAGCGTGACAGAGGGTATGATTGGGGGGCTGACTTCCACTCTGATTCTGACATGGCAGGGACAGACAGAAACTGGATTTCAGCTGGGGCTTGTTGGCTGTTAGCCGTCAACATGACAGACGAGAGGGTAGAGACTCTGCCCTTGATTTCTGGCACCACATAATCCTTCCATATTTGGTGTCTGAGTCTAAGTTGGTAAGAGAGATGCTTGGAAACTACTTAATTTTCTTTAAAGAAAACAAGGGATGTTATTGCTTGAACACCTGAGTCTGGGACTGAGATGTATACTCTTATCTGCAAATCTCAATTTCTATGATTCTAAGTCCTGTGACTTGCTGACACACCATCAAGGTTGTCCTTCACCTTTCCATCCTTCTAGTCTTACCTTCTACTCTATCCTCATGCCTGGTGGTGGTGGTTCTATGGGGGGAACTCCTCAAAGTTGCTCTGAATGATAATTATATGCTTATTTCTTCTGGATATAAATGTTCAAGAAATAAGGGCCAGCCCAATGTCATTAATCCTAGGCGGCTAAATAAATAGTAGGTCTTGTTATTCTCCTTTATTATGTCCACAATACTCTTTCCTACCACAGGAGTGGGTCCTGTCCCCTCAGCAGAGGCCTCCCCTTGATGAAGCCTCAGGGTAGCAGGCACCTTGATAAATCTGTGTTTGAGATGCTAGAAGCACATGGAATGGCCACCACTTATCCAGGTTAAGGTTAGGAATAAAACTCAAAGTTTCTTTTTTAACAAGTCTTTTTAGCAGAATACCAAATTATGCAAAAGAATGATCTCAGATATACAAAAGCAATGGCTTGATAAAAAACTAGAAGGAAATATGCTGCCATGTTAAGAGTAATCTGTCTTTGAATGAAGGGATGATGGGTGGTGTTTTTCCTGCTTCTTTATACTTTTCTGCACTTTCTGCATTTTCTATGAGTATGCATTCTGTTCTAATTTTTTAAAAGGTTCAAAACGACAATAAAAGAGAACAATTATCTGTCCTTTTTTAAATACCATAAACCTGAATATTTAGATGCTGAGGAGTTTGGAAAAAAATTTTTGAAAAAAATTTTTGGTGACTCGTTTTCTTGAATAGCTTTTCACAGTTCAGCTTGTCTGCATAGAAACTAAGATAAATTTATCGAGTGAATATAATTACTGATTTTCCCAGTTCTTCTGAATGAAAGAATGAAGATGACTTCATAACATGTACATCTGGATTACAAAAGGATGCATCACCTTTCCTGCAGTTTCAAATTAGAGTGTGGATGCAGAAACCAGACTGCTGTAGAAAACAGGACCTCAGTGGAGATGAGGCTGCCAGGCTCTTATTTAATGAGATACACCAGGACTTACTGTTACCACTTAGAATAAGTTCTGCTGACTAATTAAAGTGCACAGCACAGATTCATTTAATTACAGATGACTACTTTTAGCACAATCAATTTTCATCCAGTCTCAGAATCCAGATTTCATTCACATAACTGCAATTAACACTGCTTCTTTTTTCTATTTCTAATCAATTTTAGAGAAACCTGAAACAAATCTGAATTTTAACCATTGTAGACATGACTGAGGGGATTTTATGTATTGATGATTTTCTTAGCTGTTCTGGGATTTTGTAGACAGTTTTTTTAAGACTCTACAGGTAATAAGTTATGTGCTTACACCAGAAATGAGCTATCTGCAATCCATTTTCATTTTTAAAAATAGCTTTCTGATTATAACAATGGTAGATATTCATAAGAAACTTGGGACATGTGGTAGAGTGGTTAAGAACAACTGCTCTCTTCTCAGATGGGCCTGGGAACAAATGTGGCTTCATCACTGACCTTTGGCAAGACCCTTGACTCCTCTAGGTCTCATTTTCCTTATTTTTAAAATGAACATACAGTAGTGATCTTGGTTAGTCATTATGAGGATTAAATAAGAAAATATATCTGTGGTATGAAACATATGGAAAATGTTCAGTAAATGTAGGTGTGCTTATTAGTGTTTTTGTATCACTGAGAAAAAGGTAAAGAATGAAACAAAGATCACCTACAATCTCAAAGCACAAATATACATCTAAGAGTATCTTGGTGTTTTAATTTGCTGTAAATATATATCCTCTTCTAGATACCTTTCCTCTCTTTATTTAAATCTTTCGCTTCTACCTAATTATTCAAAAATTGGACCAAAGTTAAGAAGATTATGGACAAAACAGACTGTTGTGTAGCCTAAAATATTATTTAAGAAGAGTTATTACAACATGGAGCAGGCCTTGGGTTATACCATTTCTTTATAAGTACTATGATCACAGTGATAACAACAACATATAACGTGTTGGGAAAATAATGACTGTAGAGAAATGCACCAATAGCATTACTTTCATGGGATGGGATTATGAGTAATTGTCCCATCATGTTTCCTTGTATTTTACAGCATTTCCCAAATTTTCTATTGCTAACATGTTACTTTTGTGAAAATAAGATTTGGTTAAAAATACTTACTTCTGGGGTGTCTGGGTGACTCAGTCAGTTAAGTGCCCGACTCTTGATTTGGGCTCAGGTCATGATCTCAGGTTCGTGAGATGGAGGCCCCGACGGGCTCTGAGCTCGAAGCAGAGCCTGCTTGAGATTCTCTCTCTCCTGCTGCCCCTCCCCCAACTTGCGCATGCTCTCTCACTCTCACTCTATCTAAATAAGTAAATAAGTAAGTAAATAAATAAATAATAGGTAAAATAATAAGTAAAACCTTAAGAAAGTAAAACCTTAAGTAAAATAAGTAAAATAAATAAATAAATAAGTAAAACCTTAAAAAAATACTTCTTTTCAATTTCAATTCCTCCATGATGTTTCTCCAAAAACCCTAAACTAGAAGCATCTCTTGCTTCTCTCTGTTCCTTTGAACGAACATTGTGTAGTTAGGAAGAAGAGAGATATGTGCTAGAAGCTTCTATCATCCCTGTAAACTTGAATAAGTCATTCAAACCCATCTGAACATTGTTTTTTGTCATTTGTAAACTAAGAAGACTGAATTGGCTACACAATAGCTCAGGTTTCTTTACGCAGATTGACTCAGAAGATCAGAATAAGTGGGATGGGACGTGGGCTTCTAGCCTAAAAATTACATTTTAAAGCGTTTTCCTAAGAGTAAAACTGATATTTTCTCTTTACTTTTTGATTGTAAGGCTAGAAAATAAAAATTTCTATAAGAACCATGACAAAATTAAATACTAATTAAATTAAAATATAAAGAATAAAAAAATAAACAATTTAATTTAGAACCAGGGAATTTTAAGGAAGAACAGCATATTGCTAGTTCCCACTCACCAGTCTATTTTGGTTATCCTTGAGTTAAAATAGAGATACTTTCTGTTTTGTGGCCAAACATAATTGTTGAGTAGAAGGATCCTGGGGTTGTGCTGTGAAAGAACTGTTTGATGTGAGATGATTTGCCCCTTGTGCCTGTGAGGAGTCTGACTTTCTTTTTGCTTCTTTAGACATCCATTGATTAACTGTCACTGGATCAAAACTTAAACAAACAATCCATTCTGTATATGCAAAAGAAAAAAGAGTAGCCCTTGCATGGCAAGGAATGAAAATCACTGTGCAAGTTTGGACAAAATACTTGCCACAACAGACAGTTTTTGTTGAAGGGAAATTATGTGTAGATCAGTTAGACAGCTTATTGCCCAGGGACCCAGTAGCCCAGGTTAGCAAAACGTGGCTGAAACATCTCCACTCACATCTCGTATTGACGAAAAGCTAATATTAGTCAAAGATTCCAGGTGGCTGCCCAAAGAACATATTCAACCTGGGGCTGTAAGAATAGATGTTCAGCGCCCTATTCAAGGACTGGATAGAATTTTGATGGGTCAGAATTAGTTTGAGCTCTGGGTGAGGTTCTGGGTGTCCCACGTAGTGACGGTCGTTGGCAAACTGGAGTCTATTCAGGCAAGAGTGAATGGGCAAGAGTAACCCAGTTTATGGAGTGA